GCAAGAGGGTTTCAGCACTTCAAAAGACCATAAATTTTTGTTTCAAGAAAGGACCAGAACATAATTGCCAAGACATTCCCCAGTCGTTGCACTATGTGCATTGCACAAATCCTGTAATATTTGCCCCTGGTTGCACAGCAAATCTTTGTTTTGTCTGCTTCCTGAAGAGGATAGTAACTTCAGGAGAAAAAAGAATTCCTTCCTGAAGAATGTCAGGAAATCTCTGGTTTGATATGACCCAGCTGGCTTCTTTCATCAAGTGATGTACATGCACTGGCCATGATACATTATTATAATGCCTCATGCTGATTTCTGTATGTGATGAATGAATATCTGTAAACAGCTAGTGAGAAATGTCTGAGTGTTGGCAGACTAGAAAAGGAGGTCACCTTTGCTTTTGGCAACATGCATAACCCCTACGTGTAATTATTTCTTGCATTGATCTCTGTGGACAGCAATGAGGTATCATCTTGCCTAGCCAACTAAGTGGAATGAGAGATGAAGAATATCACCCTGCACAAAGACCACTACCCCCCTGAAAGGGCGAGAAATAAATCTTTGTCCTCGAATATACCGCTTGAAAGATTGGTATTTCTTGGTATAATTCAACAGCGCCAGCATATACCACAGGGGACAGAGTTTCTGCCTGAAAGCTGTTCACTAAGTCTGAAGGATGTGGGAAACCAATAACGTGGTGGTGGGGGGTGTGTGTTGCCACAAACCACAGCTGTAAAGAAACCTCTATTCTGTACTAGATACAAAGGTCCTTATCCCTAAGTGTATTTCCATGAAATCATAGCCCAGTACTGGAAAAGGCCCAGCTGCTTGGTTGAGTGCCTTCAGACCATCTCTGCCATCTTCCCTATGCAACCTAGCCCTAGATAAGGATGTTCTAAAAGCAGCCAAGTAACTGAGGTCTGTAATCTTTGAAATTAGTCTTTCCTGGAAATACACTGTGACATCCAAAGTACTGTACCATATTCTTTCTGAAGTTATGGGCACAAATGGCATCTCAAATGCATTACTGTCATTTAGAGAACTAAAAGAATGGCAACCATTAATCAGCAATTTTCATTTGCTGTATTTCATGTTGATATATCTGAATTCATTTCTAAGACAATCTATTTCCCAATGAGTAAAACTGTCTCATCTCTTCTATGTTGACTTGTTGCATGATAAAAGATTGCATTTATACAGGGCATCTGAAGCCTTTCTTCAAGAGAGGACAAAAGACACTGAGCTTAGTCGCTTCCATCTATCACTTCTGGAGCTGCATCAAAAATGAACCAGGGCTTAAATGATTTCCCTGTATACAGAAGAAAATATTGGTAAAGCAGAGACCTGAAAGCCCAGGTGTTCTTTTACTAAACATCATAGTATGTATGTTAGTTATTGATTTTATACAGCTTTTGACAACTAAATTCTAGTGATTTTTGAATGTAAAAAAAATTATTTTAATAGATGTTATTTTTAAAGAATTAGAAGGCAGGTTTTCCTCCTTGCACTGTATCCAAATTGCTGCTGTTACTCTAAACCACAATTAATGTAGGTTATAGGCAGCCCATACAACCATCTGTTACTTTTCCCTACCGCAAATCAGTATAGTTTTGCAAGTGTGTAGATATCGCAGTTGGCTCCATATGTATTGAAAACTGTTATTTTCTTGATTGATTTCATTGCCTTTCAATCACCCATTAAGAGAAGACAACCCAGTACTATGGAGTTGATGTTTTGCATGCCACTAGAAACACTTGTAGTGGGTAAGAAACCTTTTCTGCACAATGGAGCTGGCCCTAGAGCTGCATCCTGCTCAGTCTGTGGCACTGAAACTGCCCTGCATTGGACCCTGGACCATATTGAAGATGTCTGCCTCGTAAGACATGGCAATGGATCCTCTTCTGTCATGGGATGGCTGTAGTGATTTCATTTACAAAGTAGTCTGAGCCTGGAGACCTCCTGTATTTCTGCTCTGATGAGGACACTAGTCACAGGTAAGGAAAGCATCAGAGCAGCATAGATAACAAAAGGATCTGTGAATTGAGAGAATGGAAATTTGGAACTACAACAAAGAGAGACATGAGACATCACAGGACAGAGCAGAACTGAGCTATGATGTTGCTAGAGGAGTGGACAGGTATGTTTGTCTTCTGTATCTTTTATTACTTTTGGACACGGTCCACCTTGTTTCCTATATGTATTGATGTCTGTTGGTTATGGAAAGGTGAAACACAAAGCACTATATCCCAGTTCACACAGTGGTAACGGGAATGTGCTACTGTTTTTTGTAAGTGCAGTGGGGTAGCTAGAGACCATCCAACCCAAAGACCAGGGAACAAGAACTCATTTAGTCTGCAAAGACTATTCTTTGCTGAAATATCAGTGTACATTTCTGTACTTACTGAAGCAGTGTTCCTTGCAGAGCCCCACAATGCACTACAGCCTGAAAAACAAGGTGTTCAAGTTCAGGTCTAGGCGTCTTGCATGCTATAATAGAGTATGCCACAGAGAAGCTGGGACTACACAGATGGTCATTTGATCATCTGTGTAGGATCTGCCTTATGGCAGTGCAGAATAGCGTTTTTCACTCTTCCTAACCATTGATCTTTGTTAGAGAGACAGAAAGTGTGCTGGGATTGTTTTCATCAGCTTTTGTTTGTTCCTTCGAATAACAAAAGTGAACTGTTGGGAGCTGTATTCAGTGTTGGCAGTGAAGCTCCCACTTTTTCTTTCCTATTGTCTTCCTCAATTTGCCAGCTAGTAACAGAGCATATAGAGAACTGCCCTCTGCCTTCTCACACAAGTGTCCTGAAACATTTTAGTAAGCCTGTGCCCAGGAGTGTATTCAATCTGTTATTAACCCCATGCAGACAGTATAGTTTGTTGCTGAATTATAGCTAAAACACCCCTAGAAAAACTATTTTAATTGTAAGAAAATTAATTCAGATCCTGTCTCACAAATCTAATTTGCAAATGTTGCTAGGAAACCAGAAGGCTGGATAGAGAAGCAGTAACGGTAATGTGTCTGTTTGACTTTAAGGATTACCGTACTCATGAGATTACCTGTGTCCTTACTGGTTGGACACCCCAAGACTCTCCTTCCCTGATTTTCCATTGCCATTTTGCCTCCTTTCCAAGGAGGCAAGTGGCTTGGTCCTTCTGCCAGCCGTCCCTGCCACTGAGCAGCAGCAGTGAACAAGGGCTAGTAAGACAGACCCACCTCAAGGGGCTTGCCAGGGTTAATCCGTGGGTGGTTCTGATGTGCTTCAAGTGCCACGTAGGACTGTGAGCTGTGCAAGTGTTCCAGCTCTCTTTGCAGCTCCCCCTCCTTGGGGGTTCTTTCCCTCCCCCCCCCCTTTACTAGCAAGGAAGCCCTTCAATTGGATGGGCAGTAGAGCCAGCCCAGGGCTCAGGAGGAACAATGACCAAAGAACAGATTGCAGTTTGTAAACCAAAACCTCCCCAGGGGCTGCTGCTAAAAGGAGATTAGAGAGAATTCCTACGCCAATTGGCATCTGGATTTCCCCCCACCCCCCCCATTGCAGCCACTAAATTTCTGGCCTATCAGCATGGTAGTGTAGTCCTAATGCATTTATTTGCTCCCTCCTTGGGTAGGCTGGGGAGGGAAGCATGGGCATGGGGAGCTGTACAGGGCACAGTAATACAGTAGTGCTGCAGGACTGATCAAAGCTGCACCTTTCATCCTCACACCGATGCCAGGTCAAGGAGCCCCAGAGAGATTAAAGTGGTAAAGCTAAGCCTTGGGGAGTGCCTCTACCAGAGCACCGTGTGCCCCAGCCAAGATGTCACACAAGTTGGCAGGCTTCCTCCACTGACCCACCCTTGCTAACCTCTAGCCAGCTGGTGATGGTGCAGGAAGGGTTGTTTACAGTTTATTAAGATGTTTGATTACATGTTGTGGCAGCCTCACATGAGGTATATGGAAGCAGCCGCTATTGTGAAGGGCTTGATGGAAGAGCTGAATTCTGAGCTGATTATGATGAGCCCTGGCCACAAGGTATTAACCAGCTAGGTGTCATCTTACACTCAGTTGCTGGGGTCCAGGAATTGGGAGGGGACAGGGAGGAACCTCTGTGGTCTCTAGAACATGACTTTAAGTAGTTGTGGTTTGGAGAGTCAGAGGGGCAGCCTCTGAGTCTCCTGTGGCAGGCAAGCACTGGAGACTTTTACCATTGGAGTATTTATGGCTGAAAAAGCCCATACTTTTAAAAGAGTACATTGATTTCTTGCCTGGGCAACATCTGTGAACTTTTTATGAGCATCTGCAATGTTCATGGTAAATCGGGAGAAGGGGTATGTTACCTGTGTGTACAAGTCTGTACTGGCAGACCATATATATTCAAATGGACATAAGACATTTGTCAGCTGTGGCAACTGCACTGCCCTAGTTATTTAAACAGCATTGTTGGAAGTGTTTTACGTTTGAGGGGAGCTTTATATGAATCTATCAAAAGCAGATGCTGGAAGTGATGTACATGTCTGAAGGACTAGGGCAGGACAGGGCACATATACACCAGGCACAATTTGTGGGTACCAAGGAATTTCTATTCTGGGGCTCTCTGGCTGACCTAAATTCTGTCTGTTCTTCTGAAGACACATTTTGGAAAGGGGCAAGATTTTAGACTGAGTATGCCACAGCAGTTTAAAAACAGCAAACATCTCACCCTTCAACAAACAACTTGCTTGTGAAAAAAAAGAGCATCTCCCCCCCCCCAAATATTTATTTTTTACAATGTTTTTGAGATTACTATTTTTTAAGTTGTGGCAGGTGAGGCCTGGGCCACATTCAGATCATCGTGCAGAACAGGTGCAGAACACCCCAAAGCACCTCACAAACCACAACAGACGAGAGGTCCTTGGAGTGTATCAGCTCATTAATGAATGGGCCCAATATTCAGGTACCCACAGGTATTGCTCCTGGCCTGACCCAGAAAGCATCTCTCAGAAACTCCAGGAAGGGAAAAGAGCTGAATGGAGACATCAGTCTCTCTAAAAATGGACTCAGCACCCTCTTTCGTGTATTTGCCCACCCTCAGCAGGCCAGCTGGGAGCCTTGCAGTTTGCATTTAGAAACCAATAGCCAGGATCTGCCAACTGAACTTAACAGGTTTGGCAGACACAGAGTTTCAGCTGCAGGACTCCTGGATCACAGGTCTGAGGAACAAAAGTCTAAGTGTATCTCTGAGCATTTCTTCTCTCAGCAGCTTCCCTTCTTGGTGCATTTTCTTTCTCTAAAGAAACTTTCAGGGTTTCCTCCTACAGGGGAAACCTTTAGTTCTTCAGGGCAGTGGGGAGGGCTGAGGTCCTAAGATAGCTAAAGCTAGAATAGAAAACATCTCCCCATTTGCATTCCCCCTTTCACCTGCTCTTTCTCATTCCCTTGCTTTCCCAGCCTAACCACCCAGCATTCAAATACACAGCAGTTCCTCCACCCTCTCTTCTTCTGCACCAACTGTCCAGCCATTTTGGAGAGTGTGGCCTTCGTGTCACTAAAGTAACTCCCAGAAGGAACATGACACTGCCAACAAGACCAAGAAATGTTCCAGAAGAGATCCCCAAGGGCTGCCAGACCCGAAGCCACAGGCTTTGGCACTCAGCCCTCTGCATGCATAGTCTCTGACCCCCAGTTCCTTTTGTGTTAGCCTGGGAGCAGGAGAGTGGGTGCTGACAGTTTCTCTCTTGGCTTTGGGTGGGCCAGGGTGCCTTTCAGCTGCACTTGCAGGATTTCACCACCATGTTGGAGAGCTGCTCCACTTTGGGGGTCCTCCCAACATAGTACAAGATAGTGAGCGGCTCCAGGTCCTGGGGGACACAGCAGGGCGAAGCGGATGCCTCAGGATTCAGCGTGTTGTATAAGCCCAGCACCTGCAGAAACAAATTAAATGTGGTGACAAAGTCAGGAATACATTGAATACGTTTAAGTTGGTTGAGGACAGGAAGGGACTGCAAAGCCAACAGGTCTCTAGGTGTTTGGACTATGCTCATCAGAGAGTATTTCCCTGAGGCGAGTAATACCTCCCTGTCACTTCCTGATGATGGCCTGCTTGTAAAGGGTCTCACCTGCCCTTGCCTGACTCTTAAGGCTTTTTTTTTTTTTTTTTTTAATTTTAGTAGCCTTGCTCTGTGGCTGATGCCTAAGGGTTGAAGGGGTGCAAGTAGTTCTCTCCTTTCATCTCTAATTTAGTATGGTGGTGGATAGTGTCACAATTTTTGCTTTTAACAAGGCTGGGTGTAACCAGCCTGGGGCCATGGTGTCTTGAGTTCCATTAAAGAAACCAGAAGACAGAACATCAGTGCTGCTTATTTCAACCAACATCTCTAGATAGCACTGGATGGACGCCAATCCTCTCGAGTATCCACAATTCCCTCCCAGCTTTGAACTGTCTGATGCTTTCTCCCTCTACTCCATCCTCCAAGTCATTACACTATAATGCTGGAGCCAGGAGAGTGTCCTGTGGGACCCCACTGGATTCCTCCTCCCAGCTGGCCCCAGCCCACAGATGACTGTATGCTTAGCCATGTAACCGCTACAGAACAGTTGCCATGTTTCTTGCCAGAGGTGGCCGCTTCTCAGCAGTAAGCAACTTCTTGAGTTGTGGGGCCAAAACATGATCTCACCTGTACTACTGTGGTCTCATTAGTGCTTATCTGGTATAAATAACAGGGTCTGGCACATTGTCTTTTAACTACTTTACAGTCTTTGGGGATGAGAGGTGCTAAGGAAACACCCTGATCTATCATCTGGATCCATGTAATCACAGTCGTTCTGGTAGAAGCTCTCTGGGATACTGGCAAAGCACCCCTGGCTGTACCACAGGGGTACCACATGCTCTGGGGCTGCTCTACTCAGAGACAGTAGGTTAAACAGACTGGTAAGAAATCTTTTCACCATGTTTTTCCTAGGTGGTGCTGGCAAGCTGTCAGCAGCTATATTGTTCTAAAGGCCTCCTGGATCACTCAGCTGACCGTTTCCTTTCTTGCTCAAGAAAGGAACATTAGGAACCATTCTAAAATCTCCTCTCTCTCACACTGGTTCAGTTCAGTTATCTACTAGAGAGCTTCTCAGGACAACCAGATGGTAAAGCTACATGCCCATTACCCCTTCAAAGCTGTTCATTCCCTTGCTTTGTCTCGTGCTTAATGCCCAGCATCTGTTCACTCCTTCATTCCCATAGACCTACTGTTCCCACTGATATTAGCCCTTGAGCTTCAGCAAGCCTTGCTGCTGTGCAGACTCTCAAGCCATCAAGAAAATGTTAGCATCTTTTCTGCAGTATCATCCTTACCTAGTTATCTATTCTTCAGCCGAATCTGCTTTTTCCAGTAACTTTTTTAGTGAAACCTGAAGCTAAGTTGCTAGTGAGCTGTTGCATTGTCTGAATTGCTGCCTTTTCTCTTCTGTGGACAGAAGCACAGGATTTTCCTCTGGCTTTTCTTGCTTCAGCAATGGACTGCCTGCTTCTTAGGCTGTCTTCTCCCCTTGGTACTTCTCCTGTACCTGTGCTTTTCTATTGCTTTTATTTTCTTCCACTCTAGAGAGTAGCCAGGCTCAGGTGGTACTCTTCCCAAAGACTGCCTAGTGTACTTGTTAAACAGAGGTTATGCATAAGTTACCTAAAAACATTTGCTTTCTGCCAGTTTTTACTCATGAATCTCACGGCCTAGTAGGTTCCTCCCTGCCACAGGTCAGGTGGGACTTATACAGCTGAGAAGGATGCCTGTGCAGAAAGGAGTGCTTACTGTATGGCTGTGTTCACTTCTGGACATGGACACAGATTTCCCTTCACTTTTGGCCTACAGCTGCCCCTGTGGTAGCAGATGGCAGCTGCGTGCCATGGCACAACAGTTTTGCATGACAACCTGGCACAGAACGTAGAAAAATCCTCTGTCCAGTACAAACTGCAGGAGAAATTTAGGCAGAAGATAATTACCAGAGTTGATGTTTGATGTGAACAATTCGGTTAATACTCTGGCCGTTACCAAGTAAGTACCCTAAAACCATCAGTCCTGCTGTTTCACATCTTATCCAAGAGACAGCAGCATCCTTCTCAACGTTTGGCTGGAAGCAGTATTGACTCCAAAGGAAGCACATTTTCCCTACTGAATCACCTAGACTCTTTTCTGCAGTTTCCTTGGACGTTTTTTTACAAGTATTAATCTGAACTGCTTTTGCTGCTTTGACGAGACCAGATATGATCAGCCTTAGGGAGGAAGGGGGAGTCAGAGCCACAAGCCCTGACAGGATAATATACTGGATATACCGTGCTGTGAGTGGTGTCTGCACTGCGGAGGTACGGACAGGGGCCTGAACAAAAGTTAGCAAAGTAGCCTTTAGGTTCGTGGACCCATTTCCAGCCAAGGTCCTGTCGGAAGTCGATGTACAGAGGACGCACGCAGCAGTTCTCCTCCAGGTTCCTGAAACACAGTATCAAGCCACAGTGAATCTAAAGAGGGGCCTTATATGCGATTGCATGACGCAGCTTCCTGAGCAGAAGGACTAGTTCCAGCAGTGCCCAGTGGGATGTGGTGTTTGCTTGCGCCAAGTGCAGAGGAGCAACACAGGCGAGCAGTGGCTGGCAGCTCAGCAGCCTGGCACTGCTTGTGCCTGCCGGCAGGCGGCTTACCCACTGGCCCAGGGAGGCAGCACCCAGCTGCTCTCCGGCACCTGGAGCTAGCAGGGGGCTGCCGCAGGTCCCTGCCCAGGCTATGCTCCAGGAAGCCACTTGCAAGTCTCCCTCTAGCCAGCAGCTCAGCCAGAAGCACACAGTGACTCTGCCGAGCTGGCTGGCATCCCCTTCTTGGACACCACAAGGAGCAGCTGGCTGAGCTGTGCTCCTCATGTGGCCCCCTGTGGCACCATGGTGACCCACAAGCCCCTTGGAGGGCTCTGCCTTTCCTGGTGGCATGGAGTCTCGCCAGGCTTGCTCACCTTGGGCATGGACCCGGTCATTCCAGGCAGGATTCTCACTTACCGGAAACAGTAGTTGGTATCCAGGGCCCGCTTCTTTCTCTGGCTTCCCAACGCTGGACTCTCCAGCCGATGTGGGGGTAACATCATCAAGATGAGGTGGGGATTATGCAAGTCTTTCTGCTTCTTCAGGCGCCCCAAGTCCCCACGGCCATAGTCATCCTCACTGTCAATGCCTTCAGAGAAAAACAGGATCCACAAAGAAGAAATCAGTGCGGAAACGGAGGATGCAACAAGACTTTTCAGCACATTTAACACCCTCACGCCTGCCCTTGAACCAGGGTGAAAGGGATTCAGGCACCACATCCACTTACTCTGGGACTTCTTCCCTCCCTTTACTGCTGGTGAATCTGACTGCTGCAGGCCTGAAATAGAGGCTTACGGGCCACCTGTTTTACCATTTGCAAACTGCTGGTGGGGCCATTAATCCATCCCACTCAATCCTGGCTTCAGTCCCAGGACAGGCAGGAAGATGAATGGTTTAAAGAAGATGTCAGATCATTGGCACTCTGCAGAACAGCCTCAGAAATGGAGCCTGTGGGGGCCAGTGGCTGCAGCCCAGGGCTGCAAGCCAGGAGGTTCCTAGTTCTTAGGCCAGCCAAGCCACTGACTCTCTGGGCCACCTCACACAGGATGCCTGACTTCCTTGTGTTTCAGTCACCCTAACTGGAAAGCAGAGCCTCTTGGAAATCTTAGAAGGCATCAAGTTGAACTTGAGAGACACACTGAAATACAAAATTATTCCTTTCTGCAGACACTCGTGCAAACCCACCCAGCCTGCACTTACTTCCTTCCATTTCTAACCTATGTACAAAGCAGATATACCCATATAATCAACATGCAAACCCAGATGTGTATGCTTTAAGACAAATGTTACGCAATGTAAAATGCTCAAATATGCAAAGCAAGACCTCATTTTTTCTTTGGATACTCCAGGCTTTCCCTTCCCCAACAGCCTCCCCTAACCCAGCTCTTTATCACCTTTGAACTTGATCTCCAAGACCTCGTGCAAATTCTCCAAGATGTCCCCGTTGGGCTGAAAAGTATGGCAAGGACAGTGTATGCTAATTTCCAGGCCAAGGTTGGACTCTGCAAAGAAGATGACTCTGTGAGAAACAGTCTTCCTCAGCTGGAACAGCTCTTGGCGCAGGGAAGTTTCACTGAGGACAGGTACTGTGGTAACTCCTAGACTGTGGGTCAGTCTCAACGTCAGGGATGCTATCAATCAGAGTTGGGGAACAGAAGCTGCCTTGGAAAGGAGAACGTGGCTTCACCTGTGCCAAAAGCCTTGTTCTTGCTAAGGGGAGCTTCCTGGTCAGATGAGAAGGGTGTTCCTGGTTACATTTTTTTAGGCTATTCAGCATCCAAAAGCATTTGTGAGCTTTAAGGAGCTCCACTGGAAAACAAGTATTTTGAAGAGCTGGCTTCCGGGTGTCTGTGTTAAATCAGTTTTGCCATCCTCAGTACCTATCTACTGTCTGGCTTCTGGTTAGTGTCTGAAGGACAGATCTGAAAATGAGTGAATTGGATAAGGACAAGTAATTTCACTGGAAGCATTTTTCTCAGCAGCTGCAACCTGTTTTGTTGAACTGCTAGCGGTCTAAGTCACACAGACTTTCCAGAGGCAAGTCTATTTTCATAATAACCTCCTGGACCAGTCATGCTGTGTGGGCCTGACTGAGGGAACTAAGACTCTTATGAAAGCTCCTTTTTAATGTTGTGTGATGAATTAAAACATCTGGCTCCCTGGGGCATTGACAAGGTGCCTAGCACCTTTTTTCCTAAGCACTGTATACTCTGCGATGTCTTGTCAGCTAGTGTGCCTGCCCAGAGCTCACTTCAGTTCCAGTCCTGAACTCCAGCCATCAGGACACAACTTAAATTGCTTGAAAAAGGAGGAGCCTACAAGCTCACAGCTTACCCTTCCAGGGAGTGGCTGCTTGCCAATACCTGCATTCCAGTTTTCAGTGGCACCTAGCTTCTATCTGTGAGGCCAATCCAGCTGTGAGTCACAGTGCCTATGCTCCAGCTGTGAATGGGGTCAGTGTTCTTGCTGGGAGCTGCCCCATAACTATCTGTTGGGCTGCCCAGTGGCAGCAGAGGTATGTTCTCTACAGTGCTAAAGACTCCATCTGTCTAGGTGTGTCAGCCTCTGGTATTTCCTCACCTTTATACCTGCCAAGCTGTAAACAGCTAAAGAAACCAGGATCCTTGCTGGTTTTTTTTTCCCTACTAGATTTGGTCTAGTCCCCAGGAAAATTAAACTAGAGCAATCCTAATTCTCTATGTATTAGCGATTATAGTTTAAACAAGCAGAGGAGTCCCCTCTGGGCTTAGAATCGAAGAACCTAAAGAAGTTCCAGCATCTCTCAGTGAAAACAATTTCCTCCTCCAGAGGACAAATCCTCATTCTGACTCAGCCCACAGAGCTACACAGCGGGGACTCCAGGACAGAGCTAAGAATCTAGCAAACATCATGCACTGAGGTAGCTCTCTGGGGTAAGGCTTGTTCTCAGACTGAAAGAAGCTGTCCTCTATGTAAGCTAAGCTCCTGGAAAAAAGGGGAGCAGAGAGATACTCCTGTCAACATTGTTCCACATTTCTATGGGGATGCCTTGACACCCAGTCCAGCTAAGACCCTACCTCTGTGCAGAAGCCACTCACGCACAGTCTCGGTGACATCGAAGGACAGCCACTCAGGGGAGCCCCGTGTCTGCACATTCCTGCCACTGAGGTAGCGCTGCTTTGCTATGTGCTCATCCGGCCGAAGGATCTGCGTCAGAAGGAGTGGTAGAGAGAATCAGCCAGTGCCACGCATAAGAAAGGGATAGCCTTGGGTCTTTCTTCTTCCACAGCTGGCTAAAACTAATTCAGAAGGTTGGTCCTGGCAAGTGAGACATCAGAAATACACTAGCATAGGTGAGAAAGACATGCTTCACAACCAACCTGAACTCCAGAGATACACACAATGCTTATTTCTGTGTCCTAAGCAGCCCAGCTCTCTCAATTCATCCTTGTTTTGGGGCACATATCCAGAGGCAGAGGCACACAGCAATTGATCTAATGGGTGGTTTTATTTCTGTATACACCTGTGGGATGTGGGTCTGGATTTCAAAGTAGAACCAGCAGTGGGCAATAGAGCATCTTGCCACAGGTCCCTTGCTGAGCAAGCCTATTGAGTCCTACACTGTGGCATTTTCATGTGTCCTACACTCTTCAACTTCTATCAAAACACACCAGGGCTCATCAGGTTTGGAGACCTCTCCCCCTGCTCTGACATCTCTTCCCGCTTCCAGACAAACAGCCACAGGCTGTGCAAAGGTGTTCCTTCCTGCAGGACCCCAGGTTCACTCCACAGAGCACTGAACCTACGGAGAAGCTCTAGGATTGCCTCCTTGTCAGTTGTGTCACCTGGTGGAGAGGTGCTCTGACCTTTGAAGCTGAATTCCAGGAAGTTCTCAAGAGCTACCAGCCACAGGGCAATTTTAGCTGCACTCTTACTGCACAGTGGACAGACACCAGCCTGTAATAATGTCCCGCCTGGCTGCCAAACTTTACCCTTAGCTGGGTAGTCCAGCCCAGCCTGAGACCACTTCCAAACCTCAACCAGACCTTATTCTGCCAGGTGAGTCCAGGGGTTCAAACCAAACTCCAGGTAAGTACCTGAATTAACGGTGCCATGAATTGTGCCCCTGAGGAGCTGCTGCTGAAGGGAACATTGAAAGCAAGCATGATTTTTCCAGTAAATCAGTGACAAGACAGAGAGCTCCACCCGTTGGATTAGCACCAACTGTACTGCAACCGTCAAAGCAACAAAACTGCCAAGGGACCTAGGCATGCAGATGTGACAGAAGGATCAGGGCTGCTCCACTGGTGAGGGGCTCCCCTTCCAACCCCCTTCTCAGTGCAGCAAAGAGCTGCAGTGGGCACTGTGCCAGGGTGCCCAGAGCAGCCAGGCAATGTGAGTGGGGAAAGGACAGCACCACACTGTAAAAGGAAAGAAAGGTGATGGTATCACTGCATATGCTGGAAGAAGCCTGGTGTACAGCATGGGATTTCTTCTCTCTCTCTTCGGTGGCCATGCGTATATCAATTGAGGCAACCATTAAGGAGCCAAACTATTCTGGGCTCAGGCACAGGGGAAGGTGAGAAGAATACTCACCTGGAAGAGCTCAATGCGCTGCTCGCTGCGTTTGGAGCTCGGGTTGGGCACGCGCAGCACCCGAAACTCGGCTCGGAACAAGTTGGTGCTGTTCTTCTCTGCCGAGGACACATTAAAGCGGAACACGTTGGAGGTGACGCCTTTTGGACAAATGCCCAACTCATCTAGGAGAAAGAAAGATGGAAAGAATAAGAACCACAGGTCAGAGGGGTGGGATCTCAAATAAATATTGTTTTGAGAAAGAGCTTTCCAACAGAAGCCTGTCATTCAAACATCTTGCCACCTGTGAAGCACGGCTATCTAGCTAAAGATAACACAGGATGAATTCATTCAAATTTGGTCTACATTGCAAGATTTTGCAAAATCTTCCCACTACTGCCACCATTGTTTCAGTGCTACAAGCCAGAGAATCAGCAGAGATCAAACACAATATTTTTAATATTATCTCTTCTAACCCTGCTCATCAAGTATGTTGCTAATGCTCATGAGTCTGCTACATCCAAAGTGACAATCCCAGCCAAGGCAATGGGGCAACCTCATTTGCAGCTAGTGGGCCCCATTCCCAAGAATGATGATAGCGTGACTCTGCTCATGCTGGAGACATGAAGCTACATAGGAGGTGATCCCATTGCCGCTGAATCTTAGTTTTACCAACCTTGACATTGTATCCTAGAATGAAATCCAGCCAAGTGTCCACCAAGCACGAGGTGTGGAAGACTTTTTTTGGGCAGTGACTATTCAGTGTGTACTGAAAGAACTGGGTTTTAAGATCAGTTCTCACTCATGACCTGGAGAAGGAATTCATGAATAGTAACTAGATACACAGTTCCTCAAGGACAGAGTAATAGTGCCGAGAGGCCTGCAGAGATCAGACACATGGGCAGGAAATAACACAGCAATTCTCTGCCTCGTTGTGTGCCTACTGAACAGAAAAATCCATTTCACAGATGCCCCAAAAGAGAATAGGTAAAAGCTATGAGGTCCAAAACAAACATCTTCAAGAGAAAACAAGCCTCTCTTCATTGGGACCATTTTGGTCCCATGGAAAAGTCTGTCATTGCTGTTGTTCCTCTCTTATTGACCTTTGTTAGCTTTCAAAACTCTAGCATCATTAGGGCTTGCTGCAGACAAGACACAGCAGCTCCTGCTCTATGCCTGCATGCAGGTTTGTCTGCAGCCCTACAGAGCCTCTCATATGATCTCTGACTGTTGTTCAATGCAACACGGGGCTCATGTCAGCTGATATTTAAGTTGTTTTTAAACAAAGAAAAGAAACAGAAAGAAAAAACTGTCCCCTGTTCCCAGCCACAGTTTCAGCCTGTGACAAATAGGGTAGAAGCCCTAGCTGAAGCAACCTTCAAGCTAGATTCCTGGAGTCGGCCCTTCTCTTCACACCACCACCATCTCCCCAGGGAAACAGCTTCTGAAGACGGGCTAGTGTGAAACAGCACCTGAGTGCAGAGGTTCACCTCCCATGCCAAATTCTGCTTTGAGCAACACTGATGGATGTCCAGAGTCATCTCCATGAAGATGTGCTACACTCAGATTCAGCAAGCAGGAGCCTGCCAGTTTACAAGGATGTGTTCTTAGGGTGCTGAAGTTTTACGCAATAAGCTGATGACCAAATGCTCACATTGGGCTTTAATTGGAGGGGTTTTTGTCATTTGTACTACTGGATGGAACAGCTTTCCCATACAGGAAAATCTCTGGCTGCTATTGAAGAGATGGATGTTTGGTAATCCCAGGAGACCAGACCCCATTGCAGCCTTGAGCTGGTATGCTCAGCCCAACAACCCTGCAGTGCAAAGAGTACACCAGGCCACATCAGGACACCCACTATGGGGACTCCACCACTGTGACCAGTTCCAGGTTTTATGCCACAGAAAAGCACAGCAGAAAACCTAAGCTCTGATCACATTGAATGCCCAAAGGCATCTTCCTAGCTGAAGTCGAACACTGATAACTGTTCTGTGTCCTAGACCTAGGCAGATACTGTGTTTTATAACCCCCTTAAGCTGTTTTGCACTCCTAGCCCTATTAATAGTGCTGTTAACAGCCTGCCCTTCCATTTCAGACCTGACTGCCTGTCCATGAGGGGTGTCCCAGTAATCATTGGAAATGCCTTTCTAGATCAGACCAGTGGTCAGTCTAGCCCAGTATCTGTTTCAAACAGTACTGCTTTATCTGATGCTCTATTTAGAGACTGCAGATCTGGTCCCACAGCACAGTGCAGATGATGATAGACAAAATTTATTGTTTATCATCTCCTTAAGATTTTTGGCTAAGTTAGGCAGCCATGCTGGTAAGAGATTACTGTATCTACTGTATTTCGCCTGCTGTCCCCACATCGCTTTCTACCTACTTACTTCACCAGCAAGGTGCTGGTGCCTTGGGAGACCTTCCTAGTGGAAATAGTAACAGCTATCTTCCCTTCCCTAAGAAGAAGTTTCATGTTCCCTTCGTAGCCTGGGAACAAGCCCTCTGTGATGGGGAGATGGAGCTGCGTTCTGTTTCACTCTCAATGCTGTGAGGTTGGAGTCTGCTTCTCATAGCAGGGTGTCCAGGATACAGGTCTCACTCCCAGAGAGCTGAATGCTTTGGGGCAAAGTACTTTTCGCAAGAGGTCACAGGCAAAGGAGGCAAGGTGATTTTTCAGGTAACTTGGTCCAGGCCCAGCTCAGGCGTGTTAATCACACTGGAATCCAGACGTGTCTACCTACCAGCACAGAACAAAGTCTGGAGGCAATATTCATGCAAGCTCTTCCAGTCCACAACACTCAGTGGCTGTACAAACCTGGAGACAGGGAATCTATGACACCCTGTGCACCCATGCCAGGCTAAGTCTGACACGACAGGATGTATCCGCACGATTGGACCCTGCTATTACTGTGGAGCCCTCAGCTGTTGACTGCACAATGAGACCACTAGCCTCTTAGCATGGACAATGTCATACAGGGAGCAGGTTCTTCTGGGAGCTTCCCTCTTCCTACCACTGCTTTCAGCAAGATGCAGGTTCTCCACGTGCTGCTGATACTACACAGCTGCTGTTTCTGGCAAGCCCCAAGAAGGCTGATGGCTTTGCGGTTAGAGTTTGATGTCAAGGAAGGGCAGGCTGTCTGTGAGCAGGTATTGCCTCACTCCATATTATACCACTGGTACTTCAACGTGTTTCATGCCAAAGCTGCATAACTTTGGAGAAAAAACTGATCCTTCTGGAACTCTGCAGGCAGCAGGTTTGGAGAGAAGAGATGCTTGGCCCCAACGACTCACAGCTTTAATTGTCTTGTCTCTCAAGCTGGCTTGGAAAACAGCATCTGTTTTTCCTCAGGAAGGTAAGCAAAACCATTTGCAGGACCCTTGCAGATGCTCTCTGAGCTTGAATCTAACCCAGTCCGTGCTTAAGGGGGTCTGAACCCCTGTGAGTTTTAAGAGATCCCTGAAGTGAATGGCTGGTCAAAAGCAAGTTGTTGTCTGAACGAAAGTCCCTTATAATTTAGGCAATGTGCCTGAGAGGCACAACAGAAAGACCATTCCCTGAGTCACCAAACAGCTCAGAGTAGGGATGGGGAACCTGGTCCTGAATATCCTTCCTTCCTAGACAGATGGGGCTCTCTCCACTGCTATTTTTGCTCCTCGGCTCTCCTCACTTTTGGGCCTTAAGTCTTTGAGAAGGATGAGTTCTCTGAGCCAACTGAGCCGCCTGACTAATAGTTTGGAGCTAGAACAGTTTGTGTGCATGTGAGTGTGTGTGTGCACACATTTTAGACTTCTATCATCCTCGCAGTTCCCTCAATGGAGCGGTTCTCCCCTTCCTCCCCCAGAGGAGACTGGCTTTGGCTCAGAGCATGCTCTGAGATCACCACCTGGCACAGTGACAGAGTCATGGGAAAGTTGAACATCAGCCACTTCTGAAGACATGGGGCCAAATTCAGCCATGGTGTAAGCGATGAAACTCCCCCAGGTTTCAAAAGGAGTACGTCTCTTAACACCACAGCCTGCCTGGAGCTAGTCTCTCCCAGTGTGACCCAATTCCAAAGTTCTCTCTTTCTCTGGGTGGTGGCATCTACGCTGCCCACCCCCAGGAATTCAATCTCAGCACTACTTGGTCTTTTGAACCTGCTGCTCAGCACGTTGCCCCAGTGTCCTACAGCAGGGACATGAGATGGGTTCATTCATTTCCATAGGAATTTTCCCCAACCCACAGTCCCTCCTCACTGCTCCTTCTCGTGCACCACATGTCTTCATTCCTCTTTCCCCTCTACTTTATCCAAATCCACTCCTCTGACTTCATTTCCCCCTGTTGTGCTTTCCCAGTTTCCTTCCCCAAAACACCCTGGTTCATCATGTGGCTGTACTATTTTGCCCAGACACTTGGTTTCCCCATATATTTTTAGAATTTCACAAACAGCACTTCAGTAGGTCAAAAATGGTGAAATACGGATAAGCTACTATATACCCTGTGCACTTTCTGTTTCTTGAGTCTTGGTGTCTCCTCAGCTAAGAGCTAATCATATAACCATATGGAGTGCAGTCTGCTAGAGATTAAGTGAAATTTGTTGCATTACCACACTGTAGCTCTTATTCCAGCTCATCATATGTCAAGATTAACATAAACCTGGCAGAGTAACTGCATTCTGAGGCTGCCTGCACCAAGTCACAGCTCCTCCCCAGAACTGCTGGCATTCAAATCGTGTCCCCAAGACTGCACTACATCACAGGAGGACACCCTGGATGACGGTATGACTGCATGCCCACCAACATCTTGGAATCCTAAGCACAGACCGAAATGACCGCTTGTGCCTACATGTGCTCAGCATCTGCAATCTGTCATGTCTGCTCAGTCTCTGTCTTTGCATCTGCATCTGCTCAGCTTCTGCACCTGAATCTGTTTAGTGTCCGCATCTGGGCCTGCTCATCATCTGCTCCGCACCTGCTCAACATCTGTCACGTTTCCTCGATGCCTATGTTCCCTTGGGGGTCCCCTTCGCATCCCTGTCTGCTTTGCACCTGCTCAGCGTCCCCGTTATCTTCTACTCGCTCTCCGAACCCTCACGCTGCCGGAGTAACACCCTCGACAGTGTCCTCAGGCAGCAGTCTCGTCGGCGCGTGCCTCTCCACCTTCTCGACAGCCAGCGCGGGTGCTGCACAGCCCTAACAGGTTGCCCGTATCTCTGCGGCAGGCGCCGGAGCTTCAGCAGAGACGAGCCCGTCAACCCGCTCGTCACCCGAACACGAGACCCGCGCCTTCTCCTAGCCCACTGCGCCGCATTCACCCCAAGACCCAAGCTGCCTCCTGCCCTGCTGCCTTCCCACCCTCACGTCTTCCC